AGGGGTAATGGTTTTAAACTAAAACAGGGTAGGTTTAGGCTGGATATAAGGAAGAAATTCTTTACAATGAGGGTTGTGAAACACTGGAACAGGTTGCCCAGAGAGGTAGTGGAGGCCCCATCCCTGGAAACATTCAAGACCAGGTTGGACAGGGCTCTGAGCAACCTGATCTAGTTAGCGGTGTCCCTGCTCGCTGCAGGGGGGTTGGACGAGATGACCTCTCGGGGTCCCTTCCAACCCAAAACTTTCTATGATTCTATGCCAGTTTAATTCTTTGGCTTTCGTCTTATACTCCCATGCTTGTATAGGAGAATACCACTTATTTTAGGACCATACCACTGTGTTGCAGTGCTTTGCTTCAGGCCATCCTTTGTTTCTTTCACCTCCCAGTGCTAATAAATCCATGGCCTTGGCAGTGATACCCATTGCTCATGTAAGGAGAATGTATTTTGTAAGACAGTGTTTCAGGGAGTGTTTCCTAGAAGGTGGTACAGATGAGTTGCTACCTTGGCATATCTGAGAATAGATAGGAAGAATCTGGGTAGATGCCAGTATTTAAATGTAGGGAAATGAATTTGTGCACTTAGATGAGTGTGGATGTGTGTGGGAGCACAGATGGTGGATAGCATGATGGAAAAGCCTATACAAAAACCACAGAGCCACTGGATTTAAACAGATAAAACTCCCTATCTTTCTATGTACTGGCATTCAAGGGGTTGCGTCGTATGAGTGCAACTTTTAAATAGGGGCAGCTAGACCTCAGTCACCTTGTTTGGCTATCAGTGTTGTCTGCTGGGGAGAGAGAGTCTAGTCCATGTTAAGAGTTCCTAGGCTGGTCAAGTAGCTGTTGTATGTTCTCTGAACATGTATTTGAATAGTGTAATGCCTATTACCTTTGAATTCAATACTGGTGGGTATTAACAATTAACAACTGTCATGTTCTGATCAGGCTGTTAAAAAAGATGTCTAGTAAAGTTTAAATTGGAAGTCAGATTAGTAGCAACCTTGTTCGGGTGCTCAGGTCTTGGAATAAAGGTGCACTGTTCACTGCAAATGAGAAGTGTGATCTTCCCTACAAAAAGGGCACAGAAATATACAGTGTCACTTAAAATGCGTAGAGGTGTGTGCTAATCTTTTTGCACTGATTCTTTGAGAGAGACTGTGGTAGCTTTAAAGCCATATCTTACCTGCTCACTGTTTGATCTTCTCTTTCTCAGGGAAAACAGAATAGCTTCAGACCTCTCCAGGCTCTACAACTGACAGCAAGTGAGGTTTCTGTTAAATGGATTGTTTAGAGCTTAATTTTACCCCTGTTCTTCAGGGAATTGGTGTCTCTGAGAAAATAATTGCATGCTTGATGAGGACAGAAACTTCATTGCAGTGGTCCAACAACCTGAATACAATTGTGACACTGTGAGAAACTTCAAGCAAATGGCCCATTCAGAAACCTTATGTAACTGTGGCAGGTTTGAGTTTCCAGCAGATTTGAGTTTACTTTTTTGATTATCATATGATGTGAGAGGAGGCTTAGAGTTTCAAGTTCACAATAAACCTATTCAGAGCAACTCTTTTATTAGCTTGAACAGTATCTGCAGAGTTCTCTTCATCTTTGGCTTTGCTAAAAGAAACTATTTAAACTTAACCAACAAGCAGGGATCCTGGAATTATAAGCAGAGTATCATTTTGTTTTGATAAGGCTGTCTATTACTTTGGGCTCTATCTGGAGTTCTTAAATGACCCCATTTATCTCTTCTGTATCATGGAACTTTTAGTACTATTCTATGCAACTTGCTTATTTTTTTAAGACTTCAAATTACTTTTAACCCATTTACTGGGTTAAAAACTCTGGCCCTGTATAAAATGAAAATTTTGGATTGTATTAAATGTATAGCCTTTTTTCCTACCCTTGTGTGCAGTTTAGCGTAACAGGAAGGACAGAATGATGTAATGACAGGTGGGAGAAGGTTAGCGTTGGAAAACAGCAGGTATTTTCTGTGTGTTTTAAGGGGAACGCTGAGATTTTGCAAGTTTGGGATCCTGTTTGGATTTTTTTTAAACCCTTCCAAAAAACTCAGAAAACAAGCTGACTTTGTTCTCCTGTTTTCTTCTTGTAGACTGAAGTCTTTCCTGTTGTATGTGGGATCCGCTGTAGTTATTCTCCCATGTCCTTGTTGCTTCCAGACTGCTGTACTTTTGCATGCTCTCCTCCAGGCAGCTCCTGGGAATAACTTTGAAATTCTAGTGACTGTAGATTGTGGCTCTTGGCTCATACGTGTGAAGTTTCATGCAGCACTGCAGAGCTGAACGTGCTCAATGGCTTTGGGAGAAGTTCTGATAGCATGCATTCTAGTTCAGAAATCTTTCTCAGAGTTGAAATGAATGGAGATATTTAACCTTTTTAAGTGTGAGGGTCACAGAGATGTTTCAGTGCAGGTTCCAGAACTGTACCTTGGAATCTCCTGCCATAGTTCTGGAGATGGCAAGTTTGTATTCTTTTGAAGTACACCTATTCATTTCTGTCTTGCTTGAGAGAGAATACTGGCTTCTATCATGTGAGAGTCTCTTAAAAAAAATTGAGACCGAGTCTTGCTCCTCCGTATTGTGTTATCTCAGTGCCTGAGTAAAAGTCTGTATTTTAGACAAAGCAGAATCATTTGTTTTGTCTTAAATTTCCTGTGGTGTGTGATGGTCCATCTTCTGCTATAGAGAAGCTCTTGGCCTTTCTGTTTCTTTATGCCTGGGAAGGTATTTCTGTGTTATGGCTCACTGGTATATCTAGGTTGATTAAAGTAGACGGTTTGTGCTGAATTCCTAGATGTCAGGGTGGGATCAGTGAAGTCTGAAATACATGGATAAATACTGTTGAACTAGAAGACTTCTAATACTGATTTTTGTTTTCTTTCCAGGAATGTACTCCGGAGAACCTGGAACTGAAAAAGAAGATTTTCGGTCAGTTAGATCTTATTGTTGATGACAATGTTATCTTGAGCAGCTCGACCTCTTGTCTCTTACCCAGCAAATTGTTCACTGGCCTTAAGCATGTTAAGCAGTGTATTGTGTCACATCCTGTAAGTATGATGGCATGTTTTATTTTTGTTGTAGTAGTACAGGTGTTTATCTAAACTGCATCACAAACTCTTCCCTGCAGACTGAGAGATACAGAAGGATACTTGGAGTGCTTGTGTGCCATCCTTAGTGTGCAGGGACCTGACTTTTCAGAAAAGCTTTAGTTTGGTCATTCTTGGAGCAGCATCTACTAATTTGAGAGGACATATGCATGTTTTGTACTGTTGGCTCAAGATATGTTCTGTGTAAGCTGTTGTGCTCGTATTGGTGTGTGTTACTGGAACTACTGGCTCTCAAAATGTAGAAAGTTGGTATTTTGAAGACAAACCTATAAAATTTCCTACTTCTTGTGGCATCGTTAGTCTTTTCTAGTATCCGTTTCAGCTGCTGTTGGGTAACAGTAAGGGTTCAAACAGTGAGCTGCATGTGCTTGTCAGGTAATGTCGATGAAAGATGGGAGGTTTTGACTCTGGTTTCTTCAGACTTCTGATGCAGAAGCAGTATACCTGCAGAGGAGAAGCAGGTGGATGAAATGGAACAAATTGTACTCGGAGCTGAATTTGCCTGCTTTGTGACCAGCTGGGACAGGGCAGTGATGCAGAAATGGCGTGACTAGAGGTGGCAGCAGAACCTCAGAATGCTGAAGGGCACCTGTGAGCCTCTGTAGAAGGGGCTGCCGAACAGCAATTTATCATATTTCTCCTCAGTATGGAAGACCATTTTGCCTTGATCACTGGGATTCTTACTGCTTGTGTTTTCCACTACTCAATAACTAACAAATTTGTTAACCCAATGTTAGTCTGTCGTTTGACAGATCAGTTAAGGGGACTGTAGTTATGAAGGTTTTCAGTATCTGGAGAAAGGTGCTGCTCTGCAATTTGGTGACTGCGTGTTGTCTTTCCAGGGCATCCCTCAGGGTGTAAAGTAGATGTCAGTTCCCTAAGCATGCTTGAGAGTGGCAGTGTGAACACAAAAATACAGCACTACCTTGCTGTAATGCCTCTACAGCTACCTGTGGCCTAATGCTGCAGTGTCAAAGCATTTGGTCAGTCCCTTTCTGACACCCTTCCACCACCACTGTTGTGGCTTGGGGTGACTGGGAAGCAAAAGGAACAAAAGGTTTGGTTTCTTTCTGTATAATTGGTTTTCATCCTCTTTTAAAGAAAAAAAAAAAAATCAAACTTCAGACTATGTGTTTGTGCCTAGGTTTAGCTTTTCTCCAGTCTGAAATTCAGTAGTTCCTTATCTGCTATTTCCAGGGTTGTAACTTTCTGTAGCGCAAGAGAAGAGATAATGTTGCTTCTAGACTTCTGTATTAAGTAACTATAGCTATGATTTATTTTTTTTAACCAATTCCTGGGCTCCTGCCTATTCTCTGACTGTCGGTCTTTGATTTTGCATTACTCTTTCGTACTTCTTCCCCAAATTGGTCTGTACCAGTTGAATGGTTTAGTCTGAGCTGCAGTCTATAGGTGCCACTTCTGAAACCAGGTTTTATCAGATCTGGAAAGGTAGCTAGTCCCTGCGTAAACATTTTCTAGGTTGTAAGGTTATATGTATTTTCCAAAGCAAATACACTGGAGTGCCTTAAAATGTGTAATTGTTCTGAAATGGCTTTGCAGTCCACCTGAGACTGTTTTCTTGGTAATCTCAGCTTCACTCAAAGGGGAGTGTACTGGAGAAGCTGTGAGCCAGTGTACTCTTCCAGGGGCCTTTCTGCGTCTGATGTATCGGGAAACATGCTTGTTTTGTAGTAGTTACTGGTTTTCGGTGTTTTTTTGTTTTAACCATGGCGTTACTAACATATTGAACACGACAGTAGGACACGGGGAGTGGCTACTGCAGGAAGCAAGCAGCTCTGGAAGACACTGTGGAAACAAAAAGTGTTGATATACCAGAAAAATTAAAAAGCTAAAGTTGTAAAGCCTCTAGCACAGGTTACCGTATTGAGGAGAAATGAAAAGCCCATGTAAGTGTGGAAAAGAAAGAACATATAGAGAGGAAAGACCACTTGCACGTTGCTGTCACTAAATCCGGCATTTACACGAGCACAGTTAAGAGCAGTTGACTACAAGGGAGTATGGTGAAAGAATCGGTACTTAATTACCATCCTTTAAGGTCAGTGTTATTTCTGGTAGTAATTTATGGTATATTATCTCCTTCTGTTGCCTGGAAACTAGACCGAGAGCTGAGTTTAGCTCCTTAAGAATATGGCTGAAGGACTGCTGCTTTTGGAAAAGCATGCAGGCAGTGTTACTACCAGTAACACTATGACCTGAAGAACTCTTAGGATGTTTCTAGGATGTTCTTTAAAATTTTTTGATTATTACTTCAAAAAAGCATTAGACAAAGTTCTTGTCTTAATGAGAAATTACATTTGGGAAGAGTCAAGGAGAGGTGTTTTGTTTTTTTTTTTTAAGTAGGCACAGTGTTTGAAGGTAACCTGTTCTGCAACTTTTTTGAAGTATGTTTTATGTGATATCTGTTACTGTGCTTAGCATATATTTACAGGCTTGGGCCAGTAGCAGCTTATCTGTTAAGTGTTGCATCTTACAGGTGGTGTTTAGCAATATTTTTATTATAAAGTTCCTGAATATCTAAAAGGAGAAGCCTTGCTTCATTTGGAAAGACAGGTGGTGGCCATACGTCTTACAAAAATAAACAGCCTGACTAAAACGTCAGTTACTCAAGTCAGTATAAAGTCTTCTAGCACTGTTTGAGTGCTGTCATCTTTCGTGTAGCTCCATGAACTTTGCTGGGGTTAAACAGAGTTAAATTTAATGCAAGATTAATTATGTTTTTAATTTTAATTAATGCACTGGCTTTTAGTGGATTGATGAAGTGTTTCAGGGTCTGAAGACCAGGCTTACTGTGTTCACTGGAAAATATCCACGCTAGCAGCAAGCGATGAAGATGCTTTGTATTAACTTGTTCTATTAATCTGTTGATAATTGACACTCTCACTTTGTGTTTCTTCTTGAGGTAAATCCACCTTACTTTGTGCCATTGGTTGAAATTGTTCCTCATCCAGAAACAGATCCTTCTACAACAGAGAGAACATATTCCCTGATGAAGAAGATTGGTCAATCTCCTGTCAAACTAAACAGAGAAATTGAGGGGTTTGTTCTGAATCGACTCCAGTATGCGGTAATAAGTGAAGCCTGGAGACTTGTGGGTGTATGTATATATATGTATTTTTTTTTTCCCAATTTCTGCACACACAGAGTGCTGGATTTGTAGATGTGACAAGCGAGATTCTGTATTTAAATTTCCTATAAATTTGTGTCATCTTTGTTAAAATGTCCCTTATGAACATGAAATAACGTGTAAAATAAGACCACAAAGAAGTGATGTCAGTTATAAATAGCAAAAACTGAGAAAACCAAAATGAAATGATCAGAACTATCCTTTATCCTGCTTTCTTTTCAGGATACTGTCATTTTCAGGACAATCAAAAGAACACTCTTAAAAGCACAGAAATCAAAATACTGATTTTTCTTTCTAGGTTTTCTTATAATTTCCTGTTATTTTCTGAATGTTGCTGGCCTACTGTTCAGTGGTTATGAAAATAATATTATAAATGGTTTTCTCTTTGACCTTTCAGGAATTGCACACATAGGTTCAACGGTTATTTGATACTTGTAGTTAAAGACAGATTTCTCCTCCTCCTGCCCATTCAGACTTCTAGCTGAGAATCACTTGTTTGTGCCCCTTCAGCTTTTCCCACAGTTACTTGTTCTGTGTTGCAAAGTCTGATCTTTCACCAGAAAGAGCTGAATTAGGAGTCTATTGCTATTCTGTTGAGAAGAGATTCATATTGAGGAGTTACTGGAGAGAGTCCAGCGGAGGGCTACGAGGATGATGAGGGGACTGGAGCATCTGTCCAATGAGGACAGGCTGAGGGAGCTGGGCTTGTTCATCCTGAAGAAGAGAAGGCTGAGAGACCTTATAAATACTTACAAATATCTGAAGGGTGGGTGTCAGGAGGATGGGGCCAGACTCTTTTCAGTGGTGCCCAGTGACAGGACAAGGGGCAACGGGCACAAACTGAAGCACAGGAAGTTCCGTCTGAACATGAGGAAGAACTTCTTCCCTCTGAGGGTGACGGAGCACTGGAACAGGCTGCCCAGGGAGGTTGTGGAGTCTCCTTCTCTGGAGATATTCAAGACCCGCCCAGACGCAGTTCTGTGCAGCCTGCAGTAGGCGACCCTGCTTCGGCAGGGGGGGTGGGCCAGGAGACCCCCCGAGGGCCCTACTATTCTGTGATTCTGTGATTCTGTGATTCAGCTGGGCTTGAGTAGGGCTTACTTTTTTGTCATGGAGAGTGTTTTAATTTTTCAAGCTGTTTACAATAGCCATGCACACAAATATAGGTAAAGATCTTAAAACTAAAGTAATATAAACATACTGTAAACAAAGCAACTCTTTTTTTCCAAAGCAGTATCTGAACACAGTTGCTTAACTGATTTTGCTTACCTCTAGTTAGCAGCAACAAAATACAACAATAGGAAGGAGGTGGTGAATAATAATAAGTAAAACAGTATTGTTAGGAAGGAACTGATCTTCTACTGGAGATGTTTCTTTAAGCTAAAAAAAAAGTTTCTGTTTTTAAAAATGTTAATACAAATTCTTAAGTATATGATAAGAAAAGCCCCTTCAGAAAGCTGTAATCATCTTGAAAGACACAGGATAGAATGGACAGTAACCTTTAAATTGTTTTTTAAACCGTAATAACCCCAGATGAAAAAAAGATTTTTGAGAATAAGAATGTAAAAGTGACTACTGAAAACTGTGAACAAGGAAGGTAAGTTCATGGTGAAAAAGCTAACTGAGCTGCAGTGTTCGTTATTAAGGAGGTTCTAACACTGTAACATTTCCTTCAAAGGAAGAGGTCTGACGTAGAAGTAGAACAAGTCATACTAAGAACAAGATTTCT